GGCGTGTAAACATCTGTGTGTAAGGTGGCTGTGGAAAGAGATTGATCAGTGCCTGATGAGAGATAAGCAGATGTATCACGAATCAACAGATACAATTCTAGGTTAGAAACAGGGACAACTGTAGTTAACTGTTCATAATTTCAAACAAGGCAAGACTCAAAGGGTGGTGAATAGAATGTTTTATTGAGACTATACAGAGTGTATGCATGCTAGATCTGCGAGTGATAGGTTTTGCTATAGAAGGGTGTGCAGGCTGTATAGACACTCGGCCGGCAAGCCTGGTCGGGTAACAAGATGGGTCCAAGTGAAGTAAGTGCACGGAGTACAGCGGAGGACAATTGGGGCAGTTAGCAAGAAGACCCTTATTTTCGTATATTTCTTACGTCTGATGATGTCCTCCACCTTTACCTCTTTTATCTGCTGCCTATCAGGCTACAGCTGTGATTCTGAAATTACAGCAAACGTAAGGGTTATAAACTTATAATTCCATAGAGATGTTGTTGAGGTAGTGTCTCTTGGTTTGGAAATTTCGCCATTGGCAATTGGAGATAGAATCTGCTAGTAAACGACTGTCACTGTGACTGTCACTATGCAGATGATTATCATTTATAATTATAATGATAGTTGATAAGGTAGGCCCTACATGATTAATCAGATCATGACATTATTCACTAATATTAGTAAAGTAAACTAAAGTAAACTGGAGCAGCTTTTGTTGACCTCTCCGCAGCCTACGACACAGTCAACCATCGAATTCTAACCAAAAAACTATACCAGCTAGCAGTGTTTGCCATTGAGCAGAAAAAGCTGTAGGCCTGCAGGGCCTATAGCTTCTAAAAGCTGCAGGCCCGCCAGCAAACCTGTAGGCCCGCCAATTTTGGAGCAATTTACAGTAATAAAACAGCATATCATGTTCTTCCTTGTGTTTATTAGTCATTATCAATGTCCATAATCATAATCCCTCTGTTTTTCCTTCCTCTCGTCCGATGACTGTTTATGCTTCGTTGCCGAGGGCTCACAATTAAGGAAACGCCACATCGTTGTTATATGTAGCTCTTTGGTAACTACGACTTTCCACTTTGACAGCAGAGAGACAGACTGGTAGTCTGGTACACATCGGGGACTTCTATGGGGGTCTGGGGGCCAGAACATTTTTGCAAATTATAAGCTCTGAGATGCAATCTACAGCCATTTCAGGATACTCTAATAGCTCACAACTAGCAACACTTTTTGGTGGAAAAAGAAAAAATTATGTAAAATTTACCTACTGTAAAATTTTGATGGGCACTGGGGAATTCCGTCTGTGTTGAGTGTGTCCGAAGTAAATGTATTTTGTAGACATACAAGCTCTTACGTAGGGAAGCTTTTATTTAGCTACACCCTGTATAAATGTATATAGTTTTTCCAAACGTTAACAACAATATGACACGGTTAAACCTGAGTGGTGCGACGAGGCTGTACTGCTGTTTGCATGACTAGTAAGTAATACGACGTGCTTTGCAGCTACAGTGACTTCATTATGATATGTGTGTTAAAACTTGAGACAATTATTATTATTTACTGTATAATTCAACATGATATATTATCTAAATCTTCTTAATATTATTTTAAAACAGTATACTGATCGTTTGTAATAACGACAAGTGATACTTTATTGTTAATACATCCAAACGTGAAATGCGCGGGGATGTGTGAATTACTCCAGCGAACAGTGAGCGTGCTGCACGACCCGTGCACGTAAATAAACCCTGGCCAACGCAATGTAGGGTTCACTACCACTGGCCAAAAGTAAGCTCCACCCACTTCTTATCGATTTTTGGTATGCCAACGCTGCTACTAGATGCAGGAACCTGTGCTAACCTGTGCGTTCGAACATCCCACGCACGATGCCAACTAAAGTTGATTGCAGTGGGCGAACGCATTGTTTACGTGTATGTCACGGTTTATCACGGATTAGTTTTCAAATAAA